CGTGCTCTACCATGCATCGCGTACCCTCTCGCAATCATTGCCCTGCTCGACATCTGACTGTGCGAATCGATAGGGTACCCTCGCCATGGTGAGGGATGGGAGGGAGGGGTAGGATGTCAGACATGACGCGGGCGCACCTAGCTTGCCCTCTCCCCCTCCACTCCCTGCCCTCTCCATCCACTCCATCCCTCCCTCCCCGCTCACCTCCCCCTGCTGTGCCACTCCTTCACCACGCCATGCCTCACCTGAGAAGAGAGGACAGGGTAAGTGGGATGGGGGGAGAAAGGAGGGGGGAGGGAGGCCCCCGACAAAACTAGTCTATGCGGCGGCCCAAAAAAGTGCATCTAGCGCGTTCCTCTTCTTAGCGTCTTACTGCGAGCGAGTCTGAGTGTGAGTCAGACCGCGTACAGCGACTGAGTGCGACTGGGCCTGACGATGAGCGAGACCGAGTATGATGGAACATCTGCGAGTGGTTCAGAGTATGAATAAACGAGACTCTGACGTTGAACGGGCGTGAATGAATCTGGGCCTGTGTGGGTGAATGAGCCTGAGTATGCTGTTTTCCTCCACACACACACCACCAGAAGGCGCAGCCTCATGACACAATGCGGTTGCGAAGAGATCGTGAAAGCGGCTGCCTACGCAGGTACAGTACGCAGCCGCGCAAGCCGATTACGGCCCACAGCTAGGCTGCACAACTACCGAGTGGCTGTCAAGGGGACGGTGCGCGGCGGGACAGGGCAAGCTAGGCCGAAACGCCGTGCAAGAGAGGGGGAACGCAACACCCACCAGGGGAGGAGCAGACATAAAGCTCGACAGCAAGCTCCGTGAACCACCACGTAAACTTACACGCACTCACGAATCGAGCAGCCGGCCAGCAGCACGAAGAGGTGAAGCAGCCATCCCAAAGAAGGAAGGGAGGAGCAGACGAGAGGAGGAGACGGGCGGCCCACACACAGAATCGAACGCGGTCCGAGAGACCATGTGCAGAACTGCAAAAAAAACACAGGCGCCTGCGCCAATGCATCTCCCCTGACCGAGGTGGCCAGTCATACGAAACACGGGCCTCAAGCGAACCAGGTAAGGCGGAAGAGGAAGGTCAGCCACCGGAATATCGACTGCAAGAGTAAAGCCTGCTGGCGGGCGATGGAAGCTCCCAAGGTAAAAGAAGCCCGCGCGGCAGGAGTGCTCGCGACATGCAGTCGCCCATCAACTAGCATGTATACTGAGGCATACGAAAGGGTATCAATACGAACGTCTTTGTACGGTCGGCTCAGCAAAATCGGTTGGGAACGGGTATACACGAGTGAGGTGAGCGCGGGTAAGTCAAAGTGTGCTTGCGGGACTCGGTATGGGCGGCTGAAGTAGGCCAGATCTGTGCATGAGCAGTTACGAGCATGAGCTGGTATGAACGCAAGAGGCTCTGAGCGTGACTGACTATGACTGCTGGCGAGTCTGAGTATGAGCGGGTGAGCGTGAGTGGCACTGGCTGTTAGTGAACGTGTGTAGGATCATCGGGGTGTGAGTGGCTGAGTATGAGCGGGCGCACGTGCGAGCGTACTTAAGTATGGGCGAGTCTGAGCATGATGGTATCTGAGAAGGGTTGGTTGGGCATGTGTTCGCCTCGGGTATTCTGCTGGGTCTGAATATGAGTGACTAGGCGTGCGCACGTGAGAATCTGCTTGCATGTGGGTTTACATGGGCATTCGCATGATAGAGTTTGAATGTGAGTAAGTCTGGGTATTAATGACTCTGGCCATGATGTACTAGAATCACTAGAACTAAGCAA